AAAAATTTTGACCCACTTTTTAATTTTTTATTTGAAGAGCTAGAGCTTTGAAACTTTATAGAATGAGCCCCAAGAGTCTAACTGATGACTGCATTGATTTTGGTGCTGATTGGACAAACTTTAAAATCCGATCTAGATCTCCGGAAGGAAGTGCAAAGGCACTGGGTGACCAGAAAATAAACAGCTTCTCGCAAGCTGAGCTTCGGACGAACGGGCGAGCAATCGGACAGAGCACTCTGTCTCCGTCCGTGAACTTTACCAGAGTATCAACGAGTTTTAATCGCTGAGTTACGGAAGAGTCTCGAGATAGTGGTAATCAAACGACAGCTTTCCTATGCGCGTTCACTTTCCACGTCAAGTGTCGAAGTGCTTCTTCTCATCTTGATATTTTCCCCATTTAGCGCCTTAAATTCAGCATCTGCTGACCATCGCGAAACTAATCTCCGCGCCCCGCAACATCTCTTCTCCGAGTACGAATGTACCGGGTGGGAGGAGAGCGCGGCATATATGCGCATGGAGATACACAACATCATAAAGGACTGGCTGTAAACGTGGGGGCTCTCGCTGGGAGGCCGAGAGGTGGGCAAGGAGACATTGGCGTACGACGCGAGATCCAGTCGAGCGCGGTCTGCCCCACGACAAGTTGCTCTTACTCGCGGGTCCCGAAACGGCAAGAGCGGGGCCTCACCCGCACATTCCGCGAGCAATCTGTGTCACGGGCGGAAAAGTGCCTCGTCGACGAATTCACCAGCTTCGTCCCTTCTTCGACGGATCGCGACGACCGAAAACGCAAAACGCCGAGAGAGACGATGGAAGCCGTGTAAAATAAACGTGTTTGTAAAAGGCGACCTCTTGAACGCGTATGTTACCAAGGGATGATAGTTTGGGCCTCAAAAAGCGTCCGAGAAACATGATAAATACTTGAAATATTTCCAAGCTCCTAATAACGCCTTTTAGTTTCTCGGTTTTTATTCCTCGAAGCTGTTACGTCGTTCTAACGATTAGATAAACGTTAAACATGGTCTGAGATTTTCTAAAGTGCCTCTCAGATAATTCTTGTTGTCCGATACTCTTTTTCACTATTCCTCGCTTAGTGAATTTATTCGAATGCGTTTTCTCCAAGAATACTGGTACAAGTTTCGTTTTCCTCAGCTTCACGATTGATCGCGGTCTACAGTTCTCGCATTAACTCGCGACGATTTTAATTCCCAGGAATTAGATTAATACACGCGATTACCGTCCGATATTGCGAGCCACGCTCCGGTTTCCTGAAACTTAGACGCGAGCGGAAACTACGAAGGACGAAGCGAGACGGAGGAGAAGGAGCGTTCGCGAAAATATTCCGCGCTGTTATCGCGGGGTAACAGGAGTGGTTACTCAGCCGCACCGTTCGCCAGAGAAAAACAGTGTCACCCAGTAGCTCCTGGCCGCTCTAGATCGTGCATTAACGCGTCATTAAGAGCCCGCCGTCCCTCCTCTCCTGTGTCACGACCTCCCTCCCCCTCTGCGATCATGATTGTATACATCTTCCCGCTCAGTTGATGACGAGCTCGCTGGTGCGAAGAGGTCGTTCGATTTTTTTCTTCTCTCGCAGATCGTCGAGGATACGAGAATTTCAAGTCGCGCATTCACGTACGCGTATGACAAGTGAGAATTAGAGAGGATTAGCATTGAGTGGCACTAATATACGAGGTAATACACCCGTTGACAACGGTAATAAGCGGTGAGAAAAACAACTTGTAGTACGATATCGCGTCGTCGCACTCCTGGATTTTCGTCTTCGGAGCAAGACCAGTAAACAAAGAAGAGAAGAACTGAGTGCGGGCCGTGAGCAACGTGAGTGAGTCATCGGCGAAGGCTCGACTCCGAGAATGAGGTACTTCGCGCGCCTGCTGGCACTGGCTGTGCTGGCCGCGGCAGCCTTCGCCGCGATCAAGAATGACGCGTCGCCGATCGACGTGGTCAGGGCGACTCTGCTGAGCCTGGAGAAGGAGCTGAGGGACGACCTGGCCAACCAGCAGAAATGGGCGAACGTCGAGGCGCGAGAGAAGTACTTGTACCTGATCAAGGCGTACAAGAGATTCGGCAACCACGTGGACAGCAAGTTCCCCCTGGATCGGGAGGACCATCTCAAGTCCCTGGACTCCCTGTGGCTGTGGGCCCGGGCCCAGACCGAGCTCCGCGGCATCGACGGCCTGTACGGGGTGTTCCGGCAGATGCAGCGCGAGATTGTCGAGCTGAACGCGCCGGTCAACGCGAATCAGCTCAAGAACTTCGCCGAGACGATAATACGGGACCCGAACGCCGCGATCCCGAGGGCTCTCGACCGTGTCGCGACTCTGATCGTCAACGAGAGGTTGTTCATCGCGGCTGCTAAGGTATCGAGCGAGTTAGCCAGCGACGATTGTATCTGTTCACAGATGAAATTTTTCAGACGTTCTTTTTCCCCGAGATAGGATCTTCCGTTAGAATGCGATAAATACTTGTTCACAGCGCAGATACTGATAACTTGCAGCTTTTAATTACTTTTAAAAGGGCTCGTGTGCACACAATCTCCACGAAGACTCGCCGAGGATTAAATATCGCGGAGCGATGCGTTCGTTCCTGGTCGCACATGACACTCCGGTCTACATAAATGTGCACTCGTCTTCTGAAACATTTGCAAAGTATTCTTGTATGTGCAGGAAGTGTCGGACCAAATGTGCAATGACATGCAATCGCCGCAGCAACTGCTGTACAATTTGTATAATGCCGTGGCGCTGACGGAGATCAAGGGTTACGCTATGATTCAATTCTCATACATGCTATTACGTCTGTTCAACGAAGGTACGTGGTACCGACGATCACGTTTAAGTATACAGCGTCCTACATACAGCATTTTCGTCGCGCGGCCTGTGATTAAGATCAATCTTTCCTTTTTTTTTCGCGAGCTCGTGCAACGCGAAAGATAACGCAAATCAAGGCTTGAGGCCAAATACAGCAATTTGTGAAAAGCGCTCTCAACGTTTAAGATTATAAATCTAAGGGAATTGGCAAGTCAACGGTCACGTTTATACTCTGCTTCCGCTTTTGTTCAAGCTCGGATTTCGGTCGAATATTCGACCGTGAATGTGTTTTGAACAGAACGGAACTTCGCTTCATGTTTGCTCATTCTATTAGTTATTATGATGTTTTGTCGTCTCTTTTATGTTGCGTAACTGTACAACACGTTAATATATAATACGTAGAGGTGTGACATTTTGATGTTATTTTCTTGGCACGCGACTTAGGCCCGGCTTCACCAACGTCGCTTAACTTTAAACTTAGTTTAAATCCGTTCTTTGCCTCTTTCCAACTGTTACTTTAGAAAGAGGCAAAGGACGAATTAATATAAGCTTAAAGCTAAGCAACGTTAATGAAACCGGGCCGTAATGTTTTGATAGAACAACATACGAAATTTATTAAGGCTAAACATATGTTAAACAATGTAACATAAAACATAACGTATTAAAATAGCGTGGAGCAAATTACTGAAATTACATATCATTTTCAGGCTATAAAAGCAGTAGCATGTCTAAAAGAAGTAAACAAAAACTGGTCTTAGGCATCAATCTCTTTGGTTTAGGATACATTGACGTTAGAAATGTTTACTAAGGGAAATTGCGATTATTGACGTTATTTGACGCGTGTTGAGGATCATTTTGCATTATTTTGCGTTTTAAAAACGTGTTAAAACGAAGTTGGGGACTCCAAAATGTAAAGAAATGACATTAAAAACGTTCCTGGGGCATTTTGCGTATAAAGATAACATCAAAATGTCACACCTCTAATAATACGAACTGGAAGCTAGTCCGAAACGGGGATTAAGAGGCAAATAAGATAATAAAACAAGTAGTTTTCGCTGTATTAATCCAGAGCTGAGAAAGCTATGATTGAATGTTACGATTCAAATACACCTGGAGCCCTTGTGTCCAAGTACCGAGAAATGTGTAGCCAATCAACTTGCAACTTTTCCGCAAAAGATGCAAGCTGATTGGCCACACGTTCCTTGGAACTGAAGCTTGGACACAATTCTTGGATCGCGGACACGAAGTTTTATGCTAAATAAACCCCTCACAATACAGGCGTTAACTTCAGCGAGGAGATACAGACGTTGAAACAGCAATACGCGATAAGAACGTCCGAGACGTTGCGAGCCGTGAAAACCGCAATGGCATTCGCGCCGAGGAGTCTTTGGAGATGCGATCCGAGGGTGCACAAGTTAGGTAAGACCTTCCGAATAAGGCTGATCAAATTATACGGATATACGTCGCAAAGTCATTGGTGGTTACCTGATTTGTAACCGGATGTACATCACTTGTGTACACGTGACCGATTTTTATTTAGATGAAACCTATACCGAGCTGAAACAGCTGTTCCAAGGAATTATCGTGAACGAGGTGGACTTAAATCCCCAAGCCTCGTGCAAGGAAAACTGCGCTTATTATGCATACACTCAAACGTACGGTTGCTACCAGAATCAGTTTTGCTCGAAGCAACGCCAATGTAAAGGCAAGATACTGAATTGCGAGTACATTGATTCCGACATGTGGGTCTGCCCCTCGGTAAGTGTTTTTCAATTTGTGTTTTTCGAAGAATTCGTGAGAGCTGAAGTAACCGGTGGAAAAGTGGCCCCGGAAAAATTACAAGTTGCACACTGCTGAAAAGTTAAATTGTACAATTCGGAAAAATGTTTGATTGTAGGATCGTAGAGAATCGAGGGTTAAAATTGATAAATTGAAATTACAACTATCAATAAGAGTCGCAAGATTAGAAACGTAATTTGTTTGGAAATAGAAAAAATATTGAATGAAATATTGTGGATTTAAAAAAGACTTAATAGTCCACTGATTTGAACTTTTTCGCATTCAGGACCAAAACAGTAGCAGGCGATACGACTACATCGAGTACGAGAATGGTTTTCATTATGGAAACTCAAAGTCATGTGCCAGAGACACTACCAAAGTCGACAGCTGGTGGCGATGGCTCTTCTGGCATTGCAGCTACTGCTTTTGCTACTGCGACGACCAAAATTCAAGTTCCGACCGATATTTCAGTCTCCGATCCGTGATGTCCGATATCTCGCAAAACAAGTAAGAATAGCCAATAACTTGGGTAGCAGAGATCGAGTCAGACTTAATAAAATTAATGGATTCATAAAATTCAATGGAACGTAATAGGATGAATAGAAAGTAATCTGTACGAAGAAACGGCTGAAGATATAATATCTATTCGCTTGTAGAATCATAACAGGAGTGAGAATGAAGAAGATAAATCGAGTTATCCATATACAAATTCAAGAGGGTCAATTACTTTCACGTGGGGCGATTAATCCATCCACGGTCGAGTGGCAACCGGTCGACGCCTTTTCAATCATGGACCCTCACATTAAAAGCGGCATCGACTACCATACGATGGTATGGGAAAAACGCGCCTTGGACCTCGACAATCTGTTGTCGTTGCAAGATCATGTCGTAACAGGTAATTTCAAGTCGCGTCATCGCACAAAAAATCGCGCGTTTTTCTCACATAAAATACAAAGCGTTCTTTAAAGGAACAAAAACTAAGTACGCGATTTCAATATGTAAAATCTGTTTCAGGTGTTCGGTTCCGAATGGTTGGTAGCCGCCTAAATTTGGAAATAATGATATCCCCGTTCAATTACACGTCCGGAGTGTTGGTTCATCCCGAGGAAAAGAGCTTCTGGCATAGCAATGACGTTACCAACAGGTGAGATTTCCTTCCCTTTCGCACACCGTGGCAGAGAGAGACTTTTTCCGACAACGCTCGACCGCGCATTTGCGTTTTTAGAACCGAGCTGAAGTACGACGAGCCCGACATACCGATTCGCAGTTCCGCCCCCAATAAACCGGACTCCGCGGAGAATCAGTATTTGAACTTCGCACCGAGCGATCGGCGGAAGGACGCTGGACAAAGTACGATTCCCTTCCTCGACCTTCAGCCGATCACACCGAATCCGCCGGTGCCGCTCGCGGGCGTGGGTATCTTTCACAAGGGTCGCAAGGGCTCAGGCGGGTTCGTCGCCTTGAAATTGACTACCTACGACTTCGCGCCGCACCTGCAGGTCGACCTACCACCGGCACCGCCAGTCCTCGAAGCCCCGAACGAGATACAACACGTTCCCGCTAGTTAGACCCTTCGATCATCCGGCACGTCCATCCATTAATCCGGCACTATCCGAATTTCCCAATGGACCGGATTAACGAGATTATACAGTAAAAGCCACGTAGAATCCTTCGTGTATTTCAATACTTTATCGAATTAACGATTAAAGAACCTGTGATTTGCCAAGGAACCTCAATATACGTGTCGAGGTGAAAATGAAGATATGTATCGAGTTATTGCATACGAAATGTTGACTTCCGAGTGTTTCAGGAAAACTCAAAGTTCTTGACTTCAGCACGAGGCGAAAAAAATAGACGTTGGGATTTAACATTCGGGATACGAAATGTTTTTTTTTACTTTAATCCTTTTCATTCCTAGATTCCACTTTACATTCGACCACGAAGTGCGATTACGAAAGCGATCATTTCGAGTAGTTTTTTCCAACTGCGTGTATTTTGTCTCTCTGGAAATTGACTTGAAAATGCAGAATCTCTGATGTCAAATTAATGTAAGATCTGACGTGAGATCGACATTTCTTATGCAATTAGCAATAATCATATTTAAGTCCTCAACTACTCTTTGTATTACATAGTTTTTAAATAATATTACGTATAGTTTTTATAATTAAATCTGTTATACTCATTAATAAATCCGCCGATGTATCGTTAACCAAATCATCAACTGGTAACTTACGTCGCGGATCTTAAAAGATTTTATTTCAAAATGTAAAACGATCGATCTAGAGCGAAGTATTAAAAAAAATGAATTTTTTATTTTTAAAACTTAATCCAATGTAATTAAAATTAATAATCCATAACCCACTATATACTTTATATACCAATCTAAAATGCAATATTTTCTATTTCGGAAAGATTTCTATCAAAAGACTTTGTGAATCAACGGGTCTCATATAAACATGAAATGTATAAATCAAGTTCTAAGATGTAAATTTGGGTTTTCCAATCTAAATAACATAATTCTCTTTATCTCTCAGTAACGTTAGTGAAAATGTTTTAAGAGTTACGATATCTTTAACGAATCTCTCATACTGAATTTAGAAATACGTAGATAAATATTTGTGATGGCAAACTGCTGCCGTTTACTTTGCGGTTCGATTTGGTTACCGTTAAAATATCCGGTATATAACAGATTTAAGAGATTCCGAAAGATTAGAATGTAAGAAAATAATTCATATTATTTTAGGTTTAACATCAGAAGAGAGTGCGATGATTTTTTTTTAATCATGTTGCGGTTTCACGTAAAATGATATAAACTTTCAGATTTAGTTTATAATTTCGTATTAAATATTGTTTAGAATTTACGTAGCTGAGTTTATAATATTTTTATACGTAACATTGTACGTCGATCAATTTTTTTCTTCAGTTTTCCTTACGCAACAATAAATGTGCATGCTTTTTTAAAATAAATTGTCATAATGACAAATTTGATGTCTGCATATGTGCTGACCGCAAATAATGTATCATAGATACGCACAAACAGTCGACCAGAAATTCCCTTGTTCACCTCAAGATCATCAAACCTTTGCGGACCGAAAGATTTCAATTGTATTTTCATTAATCCAATTACTTAAATCAACAGTCTGATCGAATATAATCAAACAATTCGTGTGTGATGCAAGAGGCCTGCGAGAGGCAGTACACATTTAGAGAATTAAGTTGGATTTTGAGAAAACTCGAGCTGCTTTTGCAGACAAGTTATAGACTGTGCGTCCGCGAAGGATTAATTGGAGCGGAATGAAAAATTCGTCGTACTCACCTGCACTCGCAGCGGGTGCATCATGAGAAGATGCAGCATATCCGTGGGCGGCAGCAATTCGCGCAGAGTCGCTCCCTGCTGTCTGATGGCCTGGCACATGAACACCGCGAGGTACCGATGAAGTGGTAGATGAAACGACACTTGCAAACTATCACTCTGAAGAAAACGGTGGAGAAGAACGTATATAAATTATAGGCGCATTGAGATGTAATGTTATAATATGGGAAGGAGCCGCACTCACCACATTCGGGTGCGTATAGTTTACAGCATCGAGCCAATCCTGCAGGGCCGTGAGGCAGAAGGTGAGCACTCGTCGGCTCAGGGCCGCACTTTCGGGCCCACGGAGATGTGACACCAGGGCCCACATCGGATATGCGCTGGCCTCCAGCTCGGCGCTGAACGCCGCGTAATACGTGTTGGGCTCGAACTCGACGTGCTGACTTAGCTCCCTCTGATTGACGTTCATGCCTTGAAACATGGACAGGAAGTCGAACCACATTTCCAGGAGAGTATTATCGCTCATGAATCTAACAGCGACCGGCTTATGCGAGAGCACGTTGTTCAAGTCGGAAACCAACGGCCAGTAACAGTGCTCCTTCATCACCTGACGTCCGCAATCCACGACGTAATGAAAGTTCTTATCCGGATCTGAAGAATAAAAGGCAATCTTACTGCTCCGTTCGAGTTTCCGATTCTATTTTCATCAAAAACAAAAAAGAAATGATCGTACGTACCGTGCAAGGTATTTTGAATGAGTATTTTACTCATCATGTATTTCAAACTAATAACCATAACGTGTAACAACTTTAATTGATCAACCATCCTTAACGCTAGCTTCTCGTTACTAAAGAGCTGAAAAGCGCAAAAGTTGGCAATTAATACATCATGAAAAATACAAGAGCAAACGAGAACTTGCCATACACGTTGTTTCTCAGACACAAAAGTCAACAAGATGAATACCTGTACGCTAACGTGCACAACCCTATTGCTCAATGTGTCGGGATCCGTGGAGCGTTCAAGCATCATTGAGATTCTGCTGTAGTGTAACACGAAGGCTCGAGTTAGAGCCTCCTTGTAATCGGGATCCGGCAACATGTTCAGGAGCAAGCAGACCAGTTTCTGCGGGAACTCGTAAACTACGGTCCAGAACATCAGTTCTTCCAAGAACGTGGTGTGTTCCAAGTGCTCTTGAAGCGACACGCATTCTGCTCGAAAAGCGATTCGTGTCGTTAGCGTCATTAAATTACATTAAAAAAAACATATTGATGCGCGTAAATTGTTTCATCAGTAAACATTGATATTAGCGAAATCATCGTGAAACTGTCCATATTAATTATACCTTTGTATTCGTCCGGAGGTTCGGGATTCGGTACCGATTTGACAGCATGCTGATATATCTTGTTGCTGTCCTGGCAATAGCTATCGTACTCGGATTGTCCCGTCAAGACGGAGGGATCCATGAGGCCTCGGTACTTTTGCGGATTCGTAAGGGCTGACGTCATAACATGCCTCATTAACGCGCCCATGTTGTTCAGGTCGAGCAACATGGTCAGGTACGCGTCCGCGTATATAGCACCTTTATAATCTGGCACTCCCATTTTACTAAAATAAGCAAAGCGATAATCAGTCATTAGCATCATCGTTTACATATACTGACAAAATTACCTTTTTAAAAAAAAAGGTACAAGAAAAACGTAATACTTTGCGCGAGACACTACCGTGCCTCGTGATTATTACAATTTTATTCCAATGTTTCTCTAAACTAAACATCTTTGGCGAATAATTCGAATACGAACTTATAGGAGTGTTCTATGTCTCGGAAATAAAAGTCTTTTAATAAGTGTAGATCCGACAATATCTCGTTTCCACGATACAGTCTTTTCAATTCCAAAAGCAGCACGAGTCATGCAATTTTGAGATACACACACTCTGAAATACGCATCTCCGTTTACATCATAATTCAAATACAAACTTATAGGAGCGTTCTACGTCCCGGAATTAAAGTCTTGATAAATATAGATCTGACAATATCTCGTTTCCACGATACAGTCTTTTAATTCTAAACGCGGCACGAGTCACGCGATTTTGAGATATACATACGCTGAAATGTGTATCTCAGTTCACATCATAATTCAAATACAGACTTATAGAAGCGTTCTATCTCTCGCAAATAAAAGTCTTAATAAATAGATCTGACAATATCTCGTTTCTAAGATACAGTCACTTGAATTCTAAGATCAGCACGAGCGATGCAATTTTGAGTTGTACTCTAAAATATGCATATCAGTTTACATGAAATAGCAAAAGGTCAGATAAGATACAGTTCCTTCACATTCCAACGGTTGAAAAGTCTTCAAAGTATAGACCTACTTTGTGTTGTACAAACTCATCGCTCACGAAGCCGATAACAACTCTCGCCGGAGTACAATGTTCAACGTACCAATTTTCACGTAAATGTTGTATAAGTCGAAGAATAATTCTGGGCATCATCGCCTCGGCTACGCACATCAGATCAGACGGTGCGACTGATTTATTTACGGCAGCGTTTGGCCCGTGCCTATCACAAAATCTGCAAGGCAAAGAACAATAGTCAGCGATGCAGGAAGGAAAAATAATTCAAGAATGTGTTCGATAAGTTGCATGAAGAAACACGTCAAGATATCTTGCTGGAAAATCATAATCCTCCAAATCTTCCAAAAGAGAAAGAGGGAGGGGAAAAACGAAAGAATTAATGTTTAAAGAAAATTCAAGTGTTCTCAAAAAAAAAGTTCAAGATTCAGAGGATCCCGCAGGTCTCCACCATTGTACAAAATATGCGCCCGTGCAATCTTACCCAGTCTCCTTCATCACAGACGTATCGCCACAGTCGCATGCACCACCTGCTTGGCTGAGAAACATGTTGAAGTCGTGACGATAGTGATTTCCCTTCTTGAAACACTCGGTGCACAAGGACATGCACGGAGATATGCCGCATGTACGACAGCGATACGCTACAAAGTTCGGCGTCCATACCAGACCGCAGGTGGTAGCGTTATCGTAAGTGCGTACTGGAAGAAAAAGAGAAAGAATCTAATTAGCGAACAAGGCGCTTCTAATTTACCGTCGTAATACACAATACAATTACGGTCGCTTTCGAACGTAATTTTACAATATACATTTCCGTAATTACCATCGGTTTTCTGTAAAAACCAATGCGAGAAAAATATATATTTTGCTTTCGGAAAGAGGACATTCTGCGGCATAATTAAATTCTTAATGTTCTTACGTAGTGAAATAATTTTTCTGAGGCTCTATGTATCAAACATTAATTAAAAGAACGCGGTGTAGGGGGGAGACAAGAGTCAGACGCTAGACATTATGTGCGGATATAACAAATTTATATTATTTATTTTAAATTAACAATGACATTGTCTGGCCCTTATTGCCCCCTACATTGCGTTCTTTTAATTAATGTCTCAATGTTCTACACACAGATGAATACGAATGGCAATAAGTGATCTACGAGACGTTGCAATTGTATGTTACTTAACATACATATTTCTCTCTCTCTCGCTTTGGTCATATATTTATAAAAATTAATGCCTCAATACATAAAGCCGCCCTTACGTAACAGTTTGAGGCAGAAACTCAATGTAATTTTTGTACCAGTTAAGCTAACGTCATCGACTATAGTTGCAATTCTATACTTGTCCCCTCGTGACTATATGTTTACCTGAAAAATTAGCGTTGCCAAATACGCAAATTCTGTATTTATATCCTGCGCGTACAACTTATAAAATTGCAACGCCTACAAATAAGGTATACAAAGCGAAATTAAGACGTTCATTATAATAAAGAATGCGAGCACCGATCGTCGCCGAATCGAAACGCCTTCGGCGTTTATATAATTTTGCCGAGGGATTGCATTATTTAAACATAAAAATAACCGCGCGAAGTTCTCGTATCTAAACGCGGTTTCGCCAATTTCACAAGGCACTGGACAAAACGCCGGTACGTAAACAATCGTTACAATAAAAGCTGCAGTTATTGCCATTAAATACAAGATGCGTGTAAAAAGAGCGGCAGCGAATTTACGCGGAGGTTTTGCAGACGTTTCAACGGACAAGAAAAGCCTCTATACGCCGAAGGATGAAATCCTTTTAAGGACACGAAAGACACAAGACGTGATTTATCCGCAAAATCGTGATTTTCACAAATTTCGTCGGTCTTTAGAGAAATCGACGGAAACCGATGATTTTTAATTGCTCTTTATTTCGCGGCCATTTCAATTTCGCCAGGATTATTCATTCGCTTCAGACTTGTGACTGTAATGGCCATCGTGGATTTATAGCGGGCATCATCGATATCTTACAGCTCTGGCTATTTTCCATCTACTTGACCATATAACGCGTTACATAAATTCGCCCCTAACTCTATCAGGCGCTCTGCACTGGACATTATTAATTAATGCAAATTAAACCTACAGTTGTGCGCGCAACAATGTCCACCGTTGTAAAAATCGGATTGCCGTTGTAAAAACAGCTTTGTCCTTTTTAAATTTCCTAAGAATATTTATAAGTTCCAAGTCAAATGTCAATCGAATTCCGATCGCGCGCAACAAGAGGGTTGTTTCCTGTTTTCACACCGGCGAGCTAGTGCGACAAGTTAGAGCGAGACAAGCGTGTCTCTTCTCGTTCTAGCTTACCGCGCTGGTTCACCGGTGCAGGAGCAGGAAGCAAACCTAAGGTACATAAATCATGAGACACGATAGTGTCTCGCGCCAAGTACAAGCGTGGCTAGAACCGCGCGCGCTTTCCGAGTCGACTAAAGCCAGCGGGTCTAAGGTTTATTGCGAAAACAATCTTGTTTCCAATCTTGTGTGCCAAGTGCTCAACTCGATAAACGAGACAAACAGACACAACGGCGACAGCGGCTTCCATGCGAGACGGCGCAAACTTTTCACAGGACGTATCGGCGAACTGTGTCCCTGGTACTAACCGGCTGCTGCATGTCACCTACTTAATAACAGAAACATTTCCTACGCAGTTGTATTAGTATCAACGTGAGCCGCGCAACCCGCCCGGTCGCAGGACCATCTCTACGCTTGACGAGGGACAAGGCGATATCCACCTGTACTGGCAAACTCGTCGGGCGTCCGGCCGCCAGCCATGAGCCACTTGCACCAGTCGATGGTCTCCCAGTCGTCGATGGGCTTGCTGGGATTCAGCAGGACGTCCAGCAGCTCGTTGAGGTACGGCGGGCAGCCACCGGCGTCCCAGCCAGTGGCCAGGCTGATGTAGGCCGCCGCGCCGCGCTTGCCCTTGCCCATCAGCACCTGGACGTCGGGCGACGTGCTGCTGGAGGTCGAGGCCATCCTGAGCTACCGGTCGTCCACCTCGCGTGATGACCGTCCGTCGCCTTCGTCGTACAGGATCTCGTCGCGCGGTGCCGCTCGGGTACGTTTGCTCACTTTCGGAGCAGGAAGGGCCCGCGGAGCAGGACCAGGCGCACGGTCAGCGGCCCCATATCAGCAGCGGGCGTACGCCGCTCCTCCCGACTCGGGGAACGCCGTCGTCGTCGCCGTCGACGTTGTCGTGGCCGACGGCATGGCGGGGTCTCGGCGACTACCGCGCGCACGGCGACGTTAACTGACGTTCACGCGGCGCCACGATCCCGTGCACGGCGGGCCGCGACGAGCTCCGGGCGCGCGGCAACGATTCCCCACGGCCGCCCCCCGTTCCGGGCGCGAGACAACACCGGGATGCGGCGGCGATTCGCCCGATCGCGCCCAGCGGGCGAAATCGCCCCCGTGCGACGACACGACACGACACGGCACGGCACACGGCGCGATATACGCGGTCGCGACGCAGCGCGAGAGACGAGACGGGAGACGAGCACGGGCGCGGACGCAGACTCGCGGGTGCCACGCGAGTTCGGAGCAACGTACGGCGGATCGATGATCGGCGATCGCGAGCCGACCGTCTCGCCGAGAGGGTTGTGGGGAGACGAGGAAACCGACGAGCGAGTGCGATGCGGAGGCCAGACAGCCCCCACTGGCGCGTCCGTCCACTCGATTTGCTGCTGCTCGGCGAGATCCCGCTGACCGTTCTGCCTTACCGACGTGGCTGAGGTGAATCGAGACTAGTCGAGTGGGTAAAGGTCGATGCGCACGCCGCGTCTTCCCGGGTGAAGGCCGCCGCGCAAGGGAACCGCAGCGACACCGCGAACCGACCAATCGCAGCCGAGGGATTCAACGCCGCGGGCCTTTCGACTGTGACTACGTTTCCACCGAGGGTCTGAGTCGGGCTAGAGTCGGGTCAGAATCGGGTTGGGGTGAGCGTTTTTGCGGTGGAAACACCAACTGGGTCAGAATCGGGTTGGGGTTAGGTGTTTCCACCGCAAAAACGCTCACCCCAATCCGATTCTGGCCCAACTCTAGCCCGACTCTGACCCTCGGTGGAAACGTAGTCTGTGACCGGTCGGACTGGGCCTAAATTCCGTACACGATTACCGACGACTATCGATACGTTAACGACGTTTGCGCAGCTTTTTCTACATGATAGAAAAGCTGCGCAAACGTCGTTAACGTATCGATGGTCGTCGGTAATCGTGTACGGAATTTAGGCCCTGGTCGGACTCTCTCGCTCGCTGATGTAAATTTTCGCAATTTAGTTTTCTACGCGCCCCCGCGATGACTTTGAGAAAATTCTGATTAGGTATAATATTTATATCAATTCTAATCTCGCTTCAACTTTTATCTCTTTCCAGCATTCATAGGCCGGTATTCCATAGTCAGAACTTGTATCTAAAACCAACGGCACACGATACTATATTTTTCCTACTGGATTGCTTACGAGAGCCAATCAGGATGCAGAGTTTTCGATCAGGTGACTCAAGGCTGAATCCTGATTGGCTCTCGTAAGGAATCCAGTAGGAAAAATAGTATCGTGTGCCGTTGACTTTAGATTGCAAGCAATCCAGCAGGAAAAATAGCATCGTCTGCAGCGGGCTTAAGATCTTTTAATTTCTCTTCGTTCTTTACATAAAGTTGCGAACCCCCCCCCCCCTACTTTGTTTTTATGCGTACTATAATCGTGTGGAAGAATTTTGTAATTTTATAAAGTCAATTTCACATTGCTCACAATTAAAAAATCGAAAATTTCAAATACAAATATCCTTTTTATTAGACTTCTGACCCGAAGTGTTTTAAGTATGAAAACTTTCTGCTACGCGGTTCGCAACTTATCCTGGCGTTATTATGTGCACAAAAGCTAATAAAAAGATTTACCAGCGCAAAAACTATACATTCGAATGTGTCGATAAAACAGATGACTTTAGGATCCCCGTGCATT